CAGAATAATTTATCCTAGCAAAATTGCACTTTTGCCAACAGAATATGTTTCATAGAATCATAGAATGGTTTAGGTTGGAAGGAACCTAAAAGCTCATCTAGTTCCAACCCCCCTGCCATGGGCAGGAACACCTTCCACTAGACCAGGTTCCTCAAAGCCACGCCTGAGGAAGGCTGGAAGAAGGTCTTCCAGAAGATGTTTAGGGTTTAAGCTACGGCTACAAAAATCAGTATTTTGCTGGTACCGCTTAACAGCATAGGCAAATATTCCCCATTTAGGTCTGTCCCAAGTTTCCTGCTCAGCTGGTAGTAAATAGGAAATCAGATGTCAGGAAGAGATCTCTGAGTCTAAAGGGGAATCTCCCAGAGCAGCGATCCCTCTGCTGGGACAGGAACTGGGGATGTTCCTGCCCTGCAGCAGCACCCCCAGCCCTCGCAGGCTGCAGAATAACCCAGCTGCAGGGCAGCGGGGGTGGGGGGCGGGGAGAGAGAAATTGTGCAATAAACTCAATCGGCGCTGAAATGAGGAAGGAAATAATGTGTTAAATGATTTAATTTTCTACGTTCGCTTTGTTCCTTACAGATAGACCTAGAATCGGAGCTGATTATAGTGCCTTGTTTTGATTAACGGGGGGAGATCTAAGACGGAGACATTTCTATCAGTTTCAAAGAGTTTCCACGTCTTGTATTTCATTTTCATAGTGGGGTCAGGAATTCAAAGGACATTTATCTGTCATTCTTTATGGCTAAAAAATGATTCTCAACCATGAATGTTTAATGCTAGTCAACTCCACTGACCTCACATTTCCTATACTTCAGTGGGATTACTCCAGATTTACATCAGTGGAAGTAGGTACACTTTATCTGTCGCTAAGTGAATTTACAAGCTTTAAGTAGTCTGTACGTGCTTGTTCCACTTCTGGGGGAGTTAGATGGAATTTGTGGGTAATCAATTGTTTTAGTTGGGTTTCAGCTCTACGTATTCCATCAGTCAGGTTTGCCATGTAACACAGCCAGAATTTGGAAGTTAATGGGCCAAGTGCAGTCTCAGATGGACCCGGGGATGCTGCCGAGATCTGGTCCTCCCCCAGACCATCACTCCTTCTGGAGTGCCTGACAAATCCCAGCACCTCTGTACCGCCGCAGGAGATTAAAGCAACATTTCTTTTGTACTACCCAGTAATCTTTATGCTTGGTGGTAAAGTTAATGTACGGGATTGTCATTCAACTCATTTCACACCGGCTGCCAAAGAGCCTTCAAAGCACAATGAGGTTCTGCTGCTACCAGCCTAGAGCAGATCTGAGCCAGCATCCCGGAGGTAAAAGCACCGCACACCCACCCGCTCCTCAGCTTCAGTGCAGAAAGCAATCGCTGGAGAGCGAACGCAATCACCGTCGCCTCAAAATGAATCATTAAAAAGCATCTAGGATTCCTGATGCTCAGCCCCATCCTAACTACTAGAAAGCACCTCTACCCCCACCCCGAAGTCTCTAATTCTCGGGAACTGCGACTCTCTTGAGGCTTCGTGAAAGGGGAAACGGCGAAGAAATGTGTATTAGACAGCTCTGTTCTTTAGTGAGTGTGTTCCTTTTAATAAGGAATGAAGACAGGCTTACAGAGCCTATTAGTTGTTCCACATACACATTCATCGGGAAGGGGAATTAGTTTCTGGCTAGCACACAGCCGCTGGGTAATACAAAGGCAAGACTCCTTTAATCTTCTGCAGCACTGTAGCGGTGTCCAGGCTTGTCAGAAGCTGCGGGAGGAGTGATGGCCTTGTCGCTGACAGCCTTCTAATTGGGTAGTAGAAAGCAGCTCGAAAGGATGTGTTTGTGCCAACAAGTGTGGCTTGACATCAAGAGAGATCTGCTGGGGGACGGAGAGGGGGAGGACAGCAGTACCGCAGTGCTGGATGCTGTCCGAGCCCAGCAGGGCTTGGGTTTTACAACCGGCAGAGCTTGAGCGTGCTGAGGTTACCCATAGCTGGTGGAAAGCTACAGCAGAGAAGGTGGTGTTTGACTGGAACCAGAAGGAACTGGAAGCGGATGGCCTGGCTGCTCTGCCAAAAAGGCGTCTCTGTGTCCTGGCAACGGGACTTGAGCTCACCAATCACCTAGAAGATGGGAGGCACTAGAGCTGCACACACTGGAAAGCACACGCCCACCATGGGTTTGTCCACTGGTCGTCCAGTTCTCCCACTCCATACCACATAACCACCCAGTTAGCATCCCAGTGCTACCTGCTGCGTTGCTGGGATGCAGCAACCTAGATCCACCAGGACCTCCCGTGTGGGCCCCTGCTTCTCCAAAGACACTACAAAGCAGCAGCAGAGCTGACAGAAACTTCCCACTAGAAAACACAGGCAACTTTCTAATACCACCTTCACTTAAATATCAACAGGAGACGTCTGAGAAGTCGTCGGTCGAGGCTAGCTGATACGTATCTCATAGGAGTCGCTGCACCGACGCGTCACCATGCTTAGTCAACTCTAGAACTAAGTCAATGGGGAACTGAAACCACAGTGTCCTGGTTTGAGCAGCACAGGACTAATGTCTCTTCTAATGCTTGGGAAAACTGCACTTTTAGAATACTCTAGTGTCTGAATTGGTGAAAATATTTACTTTATAGCCAGCTATGGTGTGCGGGTTTCAAGGTCTCAGTGGTTTTGAGCTCGCCAGGTGTGGGGATGAGGAGGAGGGAGACCCGGGCATTTGACCCAAGCTGGCCAGCAGGGTTATTGCATACCACGAACGGCACATTCAATACAAATTAGAAGGTTTGCTGAGGAGTTCTCTCTCTCCCATGATGGCCACCATACTGAGAACTCTTTGCCCCGGTGCCGCAGCCCTGAGCCCTTCCCTTCCTCCCGAAGCCGCAGCGCTGGCAGTGTCCCACATGGGCTGTCCCCTGCGGGGAGTGCACAGCTTCTACGGGTAGAACGGGCTGAGTATAATCCTTGTGTATTTATATTGGTATTGGGATCAATATTGGTTCTTTGGTGTTATTAACATTAATTATCTAGTCTTATTCTATTAAATCTGTTTGTATTTCAACCCTTGGGTTTCCTTGGGTTTCCCCGATTCCCCTTCCCGGGCGGGGAGGGGTCATCAGGTGAGGGAATAAGTGTCTGAATGACAATGAATTGTTGTGGATTCCTCAAACCATCACACACAGTTTAATCCGAAAACGCTCAGGCCCTGCGGTTGTGGAATTAAATGCCTGCTCTAAATATAAATAAAGGCTGAAGAACTCACTGTCTAAAATATCTGGAGAGATCTGTGGCAGCGGCAGTGTGGGAGAGGCACCCAGCCTCCGGTGGAGGCGCCGGCTGGAGCAGAAAACTCAGGCAAGCACACCCAGACTTCCTTGGGCTTTGCTGTTGTTCCTGCTGCAAAAAAACATGAAAAGAAGGCACAGCTTTGTGGTGACGGTTTGAGTAGATGACATCAGTGAAGGAGTCTAAAGCTCCCAAAAGGAGCCAAGAAATTAGAAAGGAGAGCTGCAGGGAAGGGTCTACTCTGGAGCAAGATGTCTACTGTTCTTCTTCTGGGCATATTTCCAAGCTGAGAGTGGCCCAGGCCGTGCTTCCCGTGGCACCCAAGTCCATCCAGAGCTTCTGTCGGTAACAGCAGAGAAGCAAAAATCAGCAATGGGTGGTGGTGACCAGATGGGGTGGGAAAAGGACCGAATGCTCTGCCAGCACGCCTCTCAGCAGCCCAGCTCTCCTCCTTTGGCGTCCCCCTGACTTCTCCACATCCTGCCAGAGCAAGGAGGTGGCGCTGCTGATAGCTTTGGAGGTGCTCCAGAGATGAACCAGGTGCTTCAGAGCTGTAGCCGGTGCAGAGAGCAAGGAGGCAGGACAACAGGCAGCTGCCAGCAGCTGATTCCCCCGTGGGTCACACGCTGCAACACAGTGAAGGCAAAAGGATTGCACCATGATAACTTCAGCCCTCGTGGACAAGGGCTGTAAGGGCTATGGTTTTTTTTTTTAAATATGGCAGGATTGATGAATAATCCAACAAACAGAAGAGTTTGATAGGGCCACTGTAAAGAGGAGCTGTAGTAACAACGCGGAGAGATACCAGTTGTGCTGCAATCAACGCTGTTTTCTCATTTAAATGATGCTCACTCGCAGACTGGTGGGTGCAGAGAGGAAGCCAGACAATTTGTACCCGTAGCATTCACATGTAGCTAATAATTTGGTCAATGGTGGAGCGCAGCGTGTTTTACTAACATCTGTGGTAACTGGAAATTTACCCATCCAATTTTCTCCTCTACCCCAGCCACAAAGGGAGATCACTCCAATTATTTTTCAGACAGAATTAAGGCTGATGTTTACCATTATCTCCCTGGTAACCCTCTGCTCATGACTACATTATGCAACGTAATTGTAAAGCTGCCTCAGCTCACTGGGGTTATTATTAAATGCACTCTGCTTCTTTTTTTTTCCCAAGGTCAAGGTTAATAATTAGGTGGCTGGTATGCCTGTGACAGAGCCTTGTTATGTAGGAAAAGAAAGAGGCAATTTAAAGGATGCATCAGACATTCCCAAGTGATGAAATTTCTGTGGAGCGTTAGAAGATCTGCTGAAGGTGGGCCAGTGAAGTAAGGTGAATTATGGAATATGGAGTGGTCCAGCATGCCTGTCTGTGGATGAAGCTTGGACAGACTCGCAGTACGAAGCACGTTAGATTAATTTCTATAGGGAACGTGGGAAAGTGGGTGATGGCATTCAAAGCTGAGCTCCAGCTTCTCAAATGAAGAGGTGAACGGGGCTCCTCTATGCTGCAGTTTTTATTTGAGCTGGTGTAACAATAGTGAATTGAGCTGTTTGTTTTTCTGCTGGACGTTTTTTTCCAAGGGTCCGTGGTACTTGCACACAATGTGTCAGCACATTTTACAGTTCCCAGGCCGTGTATTTTTGGGGGTATGCATGCGCATGGGGATGGAACAGCAGGAGATCTCACTGTCTCCATGGCCAGTCAGCGGTGCATCCAGCAATGCCAGACGTCGTGGCGATTTGCCTGGTTGAAGTTCAGAGGCTGGAAAAGGAGGACGCGGCCAGGAACACAGAAACTGAGGCACAAAGTCTTGCCCAAGTGAGTTCTCTACTCGGTGGCAGAGAAGGAAGCAAACCTCATCTCTCCCATCTGCTGCCTGCTGCCTGTTAGACCACTCTGCCTCCTTGGTGGCACCAGGATGGTCCTGTGGACTAGGTGACGCCAGACCTACTCATTAGAACTACCTCCTATTACATTTAATTTGGGCAGATGGCTTTATGGCATGCTAAAGCCCCAGAGGGAATTAAAAGCAGAAATAACAACATTACATAGGGGAATGAGAGGACTGATGTATTCCTGGAATGATGTTAGGCTTTCTGGTGTGTTGCCAGCTGGTGCCAAGGTTACTACAGCTACCTAGTGACTCGCTGGGATGATAACATGAAATAACGTCTCGGGTAGAGCAGGCAGTGATCTTGAAAAGTGACTTTGGTTTGGGAAACAGCTTGGAAAGCAGCAAAAGATGAAGCTATGTGACGTGCAAGTCTGTATGTGTCTCTGTGTGTTTACAAATACACGCACACATGCAAAGATGTGTAATGATATACACACAACGTATACACACATGCAAATGTGCGTGTATATATATAAAAATACATAAACATATAAATATATCTGTATGTATGTGTGTATGTCTATATAAACAGGGGGGCCTGAGCTACAGTTTGTGTTTGGTCTATGACTCCCTCTGAAATTTTCCCCGAGGGAATTGTTTTCCCAGTCACCAGTTATTTTCTAAACTAGAAGTATCTGCGGGTCGGACTTAAAGCCCATTTCGGTTCGGATGTGTCTCTCCTCTGACGTCTATGGGTCGGGATGAGGTATTTAATGCCAAAGTCAAAACTGTCCCCGGTGCCCTACTGGGGTGATCCCCATGCATAGGCGTAGGAGAGAGTACTTACCGTGGAAAAAGGCAAAATGACTTGACAGGACTGTACTGGAGAGCAGTAGCCTTATGAAAACCATGACAGGGTAATTGGACCTGGCTTGTGTGCATGGCTCCATGGGAGCAAGAGAATCAATAAAAGAAGAGAGAGGAAATGGGGAGGGGGAACCTTTCACATTTTTACAGTGAAATATCCCTTCATCTGACTGCCTGTAACTTACTTTTCATCATCTCTGGTGTGACCTGCAGTCGAAGATATCTCTCAGCTACAAACACAGACTCGGTGGTTTGGGGTTTTTTTTTCATCTTTGTTGCTTGTTGAAGAAAATAAGCCAAAACAAAGCAAAACTTTGTAACTGCTTAAACTTCTTTATGCACCAGGCTTATCTAATGCCTGGACCTCACAGCCCCAGGGCAAACCTCACCCTGAGTGTGGTTTTTATTGTTCTGGTTTGTTTTCTTCCAGTTCAAAGGAAAGGTTAACCCCAAAAAAGAGAAGCGCGTCCTTGGTCGGGAGTCTTTAAGTCCTCTGAATCACACTTTACCAAAAGCCTCTAAAGTACATTCAAGTTACTGCATTGGTCATCACTGAAGGAGGACTCCTTATCCCTGCTATCACCACTTCTGTCCCCAGGAAAGTTAGAAAATATGCTAGCTAGGACAATGATGTCAATGATGGAGTCTTCGATATGAAAAAAAACCCCAGATCAGCAATAGTGGAGACTGCACTAGTGGAGACAGAAATTACTCGCTAAAAAAGAAATTTCCAGATTCATGAAAAAGCAATAAATACATTTTTTTTTCTTTTAACTATGTGGTGCCTTTGATGCCATTAATATGACATAGTGACCGTATGAGTAACTACTGCTATGGCATTGATTCTCCAGTGGCATAGTCAAATGTCCTCAGCGGTAGCTGGTTTATATTCTTTCTTAAGTATTCTGTGTTCTTTAACAGAGACCAGAGTCTCAACTCATTCTGCAATGTCAAACCTGCGTTCAGAAAACCCAAACCAATGCAAACTTTCCATTTCTTTAGAGCATCATCCAAAGTGCTGGCGTGTCAAAGCTTCAGCCCAGCGTGTGGAGGGATGGAGGAGGATTCTTCCATTTTGCAAATGGGTAAACCGAGGAATGGAGTGGAGCAGTGATTTCTAACACCAAATGGTGGGTCAGTGGCAGACCATAGCCCAAATTACAGAAATCCTTGTTCCTCTTTGCCACCTTTCATGTTGACCATTCACCGTTAGTCATGCTCTAGGCTTTTCTATCCCACAGAAAGCGTTAACAGAAAACCTAGGCCACTGTCACTGAGATTTAATTCTTGTCTTATGACGAGTTCAGTCTTCATAAAGTGCATTTTAGGCAAGCAGCATTACTGGCTGTTAAGGGCAGCAAAATTAATCTTACAGAACACAGACTTGTCTAAATGGGGGTGACCTGAAATAGTTCAATAGTATCCATAAGCTCTAGGGGGAGTAAAGCTAGGATATACTAAAGAAATAAAGGTAGGAGCAACCTGAGACCGAGTGGTAATGATGATGATGATCCTGTGGCCTTCCAAAACCAAGCTGAAAGTACTCACTGAGTCCAAGAGGGGAAGTTTCTTTGGAAACAGACATGTTGAACTATTTCTTTAGACACGATGCAGTTTTACGTTGAATGTTCTTGTTGAGAAATATCTAGAAAAGTCCAGCCAACTTATTCGTGGCACATTATCCCAAGCACTGAATACTAAATGCAGTTACTAACAGCGGATTTGATCTCAGCCATGCTCCAAGAATTAGTCTATAGTGTGATCTATATTAATAAAAGTTAATTGAAACCAAAACTCATCCCACAGGATTTTCAATCAATGAATGCACACCAAAAAAAAGCTGCACTAAAAAGCGCTGGAAAATACAGCTTCACAGAGAAAGGGACAATGGAAAGAAAAGCCCTCGCTAAAAATAGTGTTAGTCTTTTTGTCCCTGCGCAGGAAATGTCGGCACCACCAATTCTAGCGCTGAATAACGCTTTGTCTTTGGGAACATTATTCACCAGGAGGCAAAAGTAAATCAACAGCCAATTCTGCTGAGGGAAGTAAACGTTTGCAGATTGAGGCAAAAAGGTATAAAGGGACTTGCCCAAGATGAAAAAAAGAAGTCGCTCTTGATTACTGGTCAACTGTTCTGGTGGGACACAAGAGTGCTCAGCTGGAAATGCCAAGTTTCACTGTCCGGAGCAAGAGTTTATTATATGTAAAGCCAATAATGGAAAATGGAATTGCCCCAGAGAAGTATATGTCTTTGTTCCTCAAAGGTGTTGGAAGATGCAACTCTTGGTGAGCACACTGAAGGCCTTCTGCTGCGAATCCAGTGGGAACTGCCACTAAATGCCAGCACAGAAATGTGAAGAAAAGGTGCTTCCAGAAGCACCAGTGGGGCAAACCACCCCTCAGCAGTTTGGTAGACACCCACCAGGCCAGGATGCTGCTTCGTCGCACCTTCTGTTCATCTTTGCCATGCTCGTGCCTGCAAAGCCGTGTTTTCGTTTAGCTTGAAACCCCACCTTCTGCATGGTGTTGCCTGGTGGTTTTGCTCTGCCGTTTCTTCAGGATACCCTGACAGCTTTAATCCTCACGCCGCATTTTCTGAGTAGTTTGTCTAAGCAAATCGAGTTCCAGCACTGTCCCATTAAGCATGGTGGAGCAACACGTTTATTATCTCACGTACCAGCCAATTGACTGCTTTTTTTTCCCCATTTTTCTTAGCTCCCCACTTTGCCTAGCATCTCTCCTTCATAGGAAAGAGAGAAAACAAGACATAATATTGTGGTTTTGGCTACAGTTCTTTTTAGACAAGGAGACAGGTGGTGTCTGCGGGACCATGGAGTGATCCCAGCACCATCGCAAGTACTGTGCTTAAAGATCTGACTTCTTCTAGGAAAGTTTGTTCTGGATCTCACTGAAACAGATGACAGAAAAACACACACAAATTGTCCTTTTTGGCTTCTTTATTGCACACTGTTCCACTGGTTTTATGCAGAGAAACTTTCTGTGGGTTAAGGGATTGATCTTGCAAAGCAGAGAGTGTTCTTGGTCTGTCCGGCTATAAATATGAGAAATATCTCATTAGCTTTGGGGAGGTTATCTGCTGGACCAAAGCAAGGACTACAGGTGTTGCGAAAGCTTAAAAATTGTGTTTCAAATAATCACTGGCCCCTGTGTATTATAAGTCCTCATTTTTATGTTGTTTTTCTAAGGAATTAAGTAATTCCTTATGTGCCAATGTTGATGTTTTTGTCCTTCACCAAAACTTTTGAACCAACTGATCTCTTGCAGATAGACAAAAGGACAGAGGTCTTTAAGATATTAATTTCCTGTGAATTTTGGAAAAGTAAATAGAAGGGAGGCAGCATGCCAGTATGTCTGTAGTGTTTGCACAACTGTGTCATCTGAAACCAGAAAATTTACTGGGCATTGTGGAATTGTTCACATTATTCCATCAGGAGCTATTCAGAATACGAATACCCCAATCAGCAGGGAAATTTTGACTCAGCGTTTATACTTTATTAAACCTCAAGACACAGAGCCAGGAGAAACCAAGATCATAAAATGGCTCTTTTTTTTTAACACGTTTGAAGTCCTTATGCATGTTTTTGGTCCACTTTCAAATCTGATTTTTTACTTTTTTAAATCAACATGATAAAGTTCCTAGCAGGTTGGGGGAGGTGGGGGGGGAGCTTGCAATAGTTTAATTATTCAGTCTTCTGGAAAGGTTTACATTATACTTTTCTGATCGCAGTGTAAATACATCAGAAATTAAATAGTCATATTCTAATACAGTGAAAACCCAACAAAAGAGCCTTTTCCTTTCACAGCAATAAGAGTGACTGTCATACTGTAATAGCTTAAAATACATCGGAGATGTTTTTAAAGAATCGGAAAGATGTGTTCTAATGACCAGTGATGGCTCTAAAGTATTGCGAGAGCTTGGTTCAAAGCTCCTTGAAATGAATAACAGTCCTTCTGCTGACATTACTAATCTTTGAATCGGGCTCATTAATGTATTGCAGATATTATATCCCTAGCTGCCAAAAAGCTGAAAAAATTAGAACATAGTCATAAAAATAGACATCAAATACCTTTCTCTTCTGGGAATTAACATAGAAGTGAAGTATTTCTCCTGCTATTCAGCAGTGCTTCAATACAGCTATTTTCTTACTGTTTTTAAAGGAATTAACAGGGCAAGCAGTTCATCTCATCTAAAACTCTGTCTCCAGCAACGGCCAGTATCTAATGCCACAGAGACTGGGAAATGCTCGAGTTGCTGTAACAGTTTTCACTCCAGCTCTGTAAATCGGTCCTTTCCGGGATGTGCTGTGCTGATGGAGAGGAGGAAGGGCGGGAGGGGAAACAGAGATCTTCAGGCAAGACTTTCCCATCTTTAGTTTCTCTGTGATTAATTACAGATCGATACTTTGTACTCTCCGGCTTTTATAGCTCATTAACATCAAACGGTGTCAAGATATAAATTTGTTATATGGCTTGCCAAGCACTAGGGGATGTGTGGGAGCAGACACCCGTAAACGTTCACTGGGGGATATAAATGAGACACAATTTAGTTGACCAATTTGAATCCTAGGTAGAAAAATAATACTTCGGTTCTTTGCCTGTGGATCTCGAGGGACCGTACAAAAACGTGTGGGCATGTGCACATGTGTGTCAGAGGAGAGGGAGAGGGGAGAGACGGCGACTGTCGCTTTGGTCCTGTGTGCGGCTGAGAAGAAGCCAGTGATACAGAACCAGGCACCTTTTTTTTTTTTTCCCCCAGCCCTTGGGATCATTTTCAGGTTGTCTACCTACCTGACCTCCCCCAGCCCACCGAGCCAGTGTCATTAAATGCCCCTGTAATGCGAAAACGCCCCGTCAGCTCCCAGCCCCGGCCCGGGGGAGCGCCGGCTCTGTCCCTTTAAGAACCCCACCGAGTCGTGATGCTGCTGTTTGTATCGCTAAACCCCCGGGAGTCCAGTTAAAGCAACGGGCGGCTGTCTCTTTAAGCGTGATTTCCTTCTATTGTATTTGAATCGTGATCAGGAAAAAGGAAATGAAACCGGAGCCGCGGGGCTGAGCCGCGCAGTCACCCACCATCACCCCAAGAGCGATGCGGCGCTCTCCGTCCCCACCGTCCCCACCGCGCTCCGCAGCGCGGCCGGAGCTGCCCGGGCACAGAGCCTGAGCCGAACCCGGGCGAGCTCCGGGCTTTGCGAGGGGGGGTAACGGTGGCAACCGAGGCAACCGCTTCCCAC